AGTTAGCATCAGTGCCCTGGACTTGTTAAGACTCCTTTAAGACAGGTCCTCTTCCTCTTTGACTCGGGTGAAGAGGCTGTTTAATACACACACACACACTGCAAATTAGTGAGGGGACGGTATTGTGCCTTTTGTGGAATAAGCATTGGTGGGCGGCGGCGTTCAGGGTTTTCGGGGGCTGCGGGGGAAGATGATTGCTTGTGATGTGTCCCAGGTTGTAATCCTGGGACAAGAGATGGCGGGTTCCCCTTTAGCCAGCAGAAGGGCTCTGGCTGGGGAAAGGCGCTGGGCTTAATTAGACTTGTCTGGGGAAGAGACGGGCTTTAGGTGTGGCTAATTAAGATCATAGCTGTGGCTAGAAATGGCTTAAACTGTACTGTAATACCAGTGACGTCCCAGAGGAAATGAACAATGCCAGTGAGACGCCATCTTCCTGCAGCCCATGAACGCACGTACTGGCGATTAGTGTGAGAGCAGTTATTAGGTTTCATCAGGAGGCGGGCTGCATGATTCTGCATACATTCTTCTTTACATTAATGTAGGTTAACAAAGCATGAAGGAGAACTGATGACATTTCATGTAAGGTCAACGTCACAAAAGGTTTCGAAAGATATGTTAATAACTGAGCACATGGCACTCCATTGCTTATTCAAATGTTTATGTAAATAAGGCAAAAATGACAGTAGGTCAATGGCCAAATCTCCAGCGCCAGAGACACTTGACAATAAGAGTGGAACTGAATCAAACTGGAGCCCTCTTGTGTCTCCTGGCGGGCAAAATGGTTGGAGGCCAAACAGCCGTTCCCATAATCCTCACTATTGACAGGGCTTGCTCTGTTCTCTGCCTGATCTGTTTGGTCTGTCAAGTTAAGGGAGCCCCTCTAGTGCTTGTGGGAACCAAATCTATAAACAAACCCTCAACTGATCGCCGAGCCTTTCCTATGTATAGTCCTGAGCTGGCCATCGTCCCTTCTCCTTCAGTGGGAATCATTATCTTTTTGGGCCCTGCAACAAAATGGTACTTTGCTGAAGCAGGGGGATTATATTTCAACAAACAAATGCATTTGAGGGTTGGTCATATCTGTGCAATAAAGTCTTAGGCTCACTTAACATTGTGGAAGCAGAATAAAGGTGTGAGTGAGCGGAGCGGTGGAGAAATACATTAAATATTTCCCCCGAGCTTACGGTCCTTTCATCATTTCAATCATCTTTGTTGGGCGCAGACCTTTCTCGCTGTGACTTTGTTCAATTGCTCCGTTTCCCCTCTTGTTCATTTCAGCCGAGGGGAGAAGAGGGGAGGGAGTGCAGCCGCATAGCTGCGATGACCAGTCTCTCTCTCTCCCCTCTGACCAGCTGTCACCTTTAAATCTGCCTTTTCATTTTCCTCTCAAAGCATCCTGTCCACAGAAAAGGCGCCTGCCAAAGGGAATCTCTGCACAAACAAGAGGCTTGGAGAAAGAGAGACCTATTGGAGGACAATTATTTAAACAGTGAAGAGGAATAAAAACGTCTCCTCTTATTTCTAGCTTCCACTTTTTCACATTGCTACTGTTTGCAGTGGAAACCCTGCCTGACTGAATTCTGATAGTGAGGAATATAATATTAATAATGACATAAAAGGCTATCATGATGATTCAATGACTGCTTTTAATCAATTGAACGAGCGTCCCATCGCACTCTCAAAAAGCCACTGACGCACGTTAAATCGGTTGTCCGCACGGACAAATCCAAGCGAGTACGGGAGTACGGCACATCTACCTGGGTGGCTGTGCAGTGACGGGCCGTGGGGTGTGTGGAGGGGGGGGGCATGAAGGACAGGCTTGCGATGGCCGACGACAGCCCGGCCTGTCCGGCCCATGAATAGCCGGAGGCCCCCGCGGCACATGGAACTACATCTGCCAGTGCTTCGGGAAAAGGAAATATTCAAATGGAAATGGGAAGGCCGTGCATCATAAGCCCAAGGTAAGCTATGTAATGCTGGTAAGACAGTGAGTAGTGCTTTATTGGTGTAGAGGGGGAATCCTTTTTGCCATTCAGGAGAAGAATTGCAGCAGTAATACCATTAACTTGCACTCTGGATTGCCAAACGCCATTTAATTGCCAATAGCAGCCCATTGTTTGGAGGGGGTGAATTTAGGCTTCTGTGTGGCAGTGTTTCATGTGAAAGGGGGGGTAAACATGGAAGTCTTTTTGTTGCCGGGGGTTGTAGGGTGTCATAGTTTAAGACGTCTGAAGAATGATGGCCCCTCACGCCTGCACAATCGCACACAAGCAACCGACGCCCAACTAAAGCTCCGCAGTAACTAGCTTAACTAAAGTCTTTAAGGAAAGTAAATTCGGACAAACTCCTCTCTCCTTAATACCTGATTTGTTCAACAACATGATTTGAGGCGCGTCTATTCAGGGCCCTTTTGGGCCAAGCCGAGGTCTTAAGGTTTAAGGCTTGTACCTCGCGGTTATTGTGGGCTGTTTAGGGTTTGTCTCAAATCTCCTTGTGCGGATGTGTGGACGCTCCTAATGCTGGCTAATGGGCTTCGGCAGAGTAACAGTCTGCTAGCTCCCATTGAAGACCCCATGGAAAGCAGCATAAGCTCCATCGAATAAAAGCCCCGGCCAGACCTTTCTTTGGGAGTTTTTTATTATTGGGAAGAGGCCACCCTCCATCACCCCCGTTTTCACCCCAAATCTCCTGTCCATTCTACTTGGATCTTCTGTCCCCGTCGACCTCCCTCAAACCTGACCAGCACCAGCACCCCTTCCCTCGACTGCGAGCCCGAACCCATCGGCATTGTCATTATGCCCCTCCTCCCCCTCGAAACCTGCCACAGTCCAGGACATTGGCCTGCACCCCCCCCCCAGCTCATACCGCCAATGCTGACCCTGACAGCCATGTCCCGGGGAGGGCTAAATTGAATGTGAAATGCATGGTGGGTCCTCGCAGACTCCATTGTGCAGAGGGGGGAGTCTGGGAGGCGAGCAGCGTCACTGCTCCTCAGTGCTGATCGAGTTTGACAGCACGACGGGAGGAGGCAAGAAAAAACGTTCTTCTGCTCTCATTCAAAACTCAAAGAGGGCCTTTTTCAGTCAACCCCCCGCCCCCCAACGCCCCCCGCCCGCCCCACCTCCTCGCCAACCACTTCTGCCTTGCCTCCATCATCTCGCCCCTCTTCTCCTTTGGGAAACAGGCCTTAGCTTTCTCTGGACCCACAAGCTCCCCTGAGATCATGCGGCATTACGTTGAGCTCATCCTCGGAACCACAACAGAGGAGTTACGTTTGGTGACGTTATTGTCGTTTAAATCACTTGTTTTTAAGATGAGAACTCCACCCAAAACAGTGTGGATCTTAGTCAAAGGTTTTTGATTTGATGAAGTTGCCATGTGTGTAAGCATACAAAGTTGCACGAAGGCGTGTGTTAGTGCATGCACAAACACACGCAGGTGTGCGCGTAGCTTTCTGCACGTTATGGAAAGTGCTATTCAGTCTGTTCCGCCCGATGTCAGGCAGCCCCCCCCTCGCTGGATGCGGCAAACCCCTCATTCAATGCAAATGACAGTCATCTAGAATCAAATGCATCTCTCGTCGCTGCACATTGCCTAATCAATGTGAAGTGCTGTGTAAAACAAATGCATTGCCTCTCTGTAATAGTTGTTTTTGACCGAGTCAAGTGCACCTCCTAGAATTAATCCCAACCTGAGATTCAATTACGGCCGCCTGGCTAAGCAGAAGAGGGACAACGCGGCGAGTGTTGGTGGGTGAGGGGACTGTGATTACGTACCGAGCCTGTCTGGGTGTTTCCGTGTCCGTGTGAAGTGTACGTATGCGTGAACATTCCTGGTCACTGTGGGTGAGTTATACATGAGGGTTTATAATGTGGTGTCGTTTCTTTGCCCTTGCTGACTTGATCCCCCCCCAATCTGTACCTCCAGGAGTCTGGTCCTCATTCCGAGGCATCCCACGTCGGCCTTCCCGGCCGTGCTCCGGGTAGCAGAGGGAGATGTGGAAAAATTGGCTATGGGAAATTCAGAGAGTTGTGAAAGCTCATTGTCACCTTTTTCTAATGAGTTCCCTGATCATCAAATGCGCTCTCAGTTCTGACATTGCTTTAGGAAAAAGGGGGAGGAGGTGGTGTAGACGTAAAGCCTGGTGGTGGGAGTCAAACTGGAACCACGCCTGTGGCTTCATCAATGTGCACGAAAGTAAGGCTTCCGGAAATTCATTTCTGTCGCCTGTTTCAGGTCAGTGTTTGTGTTCATTACAAGGTGTTAGAGTAGCTCTCTTCTCATTCACATTGACATACTGTTGTTGTTGTTGGGATCCATCAACACCTCAATTGCGTGTAACGACCAATTTGAAGATATTAGATTAGCTCACCCAGCGTGCACCTTCTCACAGGAGAGGTTTTACTTCTTTATTTACTTTAATTTACTTCTGAAGCACACTTTTTAAAAATAAATCTTTGCATTATAATAAGCACATACTGTTGGATTGCAGCCGATGTGCCCCTCTGAAAGTAGAAAAGCGTAAGTAGAGTTTGCACACGAACATTTGTGGTACAAATGGCATTTACTATCCCATAAAAGTTCATCTTCCATTCAGCCCAAGGACATTGCTTGTGTCTCCTCCTCCTCTACCCTTCCCAACAGCGGGCCAATGACAACATAAACACAGAAAAGGCAATTTAGCTCCTTCTTTTAGAACTACTTTGAAAATAAAGGAATTTTAATTATGGACACAATGAAAAAGAAAAAAGGACTAAAAAGGGAGAAAACACTCACGCACAGTAAACAAAGCTGAAACAATTATCTTCTGGTGACCAGTCGGTGTTTTTAGAACAGTCATTTTAATCTTTTATTTACTGCAAAGAGAGAGAGGGGGAGCGAGAGAGACAGAGAGGGGGGGGGGGGGGTGAAAAAGAGAGAGAGAGAGAGAGAGAGAGAGAGAGAGACGGGGAGGGGAAAGGGGGGAGACATTCTAGGGTGAAAGAGAGAAAGATAATATGCATATATTTAAAATATCCCCACCCTCACAATCAAAAGATGCTTTTTTTTTTTTTATTAGAGAAACCATTTTGCCACACGCCCGGTGAGAGGAGGGGGTAGTTTGTCATTTGTCGTTGGAAATTGCTCGCTGTCAACCCCCCAAAGACGACATTGCATTCCTCCGTTCATCAGTGAAAGGGAACGGAGTGACATTGTGAGTTTCCTCTGGTGGGATAAAGCCAAACAACAACAACAACAACACAATGCAATGGGATGATGGCAGAGTGATTTCAGACACCGGCATAATTGAACCCAGAAGTAGCCTTTTGTTGACTTGTGGGGGATTCACAGAGCGGCGGGCAGGTTATAATAGTCAGGTAATTGACATTCACATTATTCAGATGACCTAGCAGGCACAATACATTACATTATGTTTAATGGTCAATTTCAGATGATAAACACCTTCACACCCCCGTGCAGAGAATAACGGCCGTGCCGCGGCGGAGGGGAAATGACGGGGGAAGACGCCGAGGCCTGTTCTGCACCTCGGATGCAGCGGAGGTGGTGCGCAGTGGGCCGGCGGTGTAAGTGAAATCTAATTAATCTATCACATCTATTTCAGATGAGCCATTGACACCTTCCCTTTGAAGCCGCGCTGCTGCGTGGATGTAGATGCGTATCAGCTGTGTCCGGCCCCTGGGTGCCTCAGATACAAACACCGGATGCTGTTATCCTCCATTGAGTGACACTGATGCGTTATGTGGGATTGGCCAAGATGGCCAGGCAAAAGCTACAAATCTCCATTTGCAATGAGGAGAAAATTCCATAGGATTAATTTTCTGTATAAGACCCCTGCCCAGACCCCCCAACCCCCACCCTGTCCACAACTTCAGCTGTGCAGCCCGGTGTTAAAAGACCCCGAGGAATACTGTCTTTGTCATCCTGCCGTTTGGGGACGAAGAATAAGAGAAGTTTTAATCCCCATTGTCCGCGAGTCTGGTGGGGGGGTCGGCGGCTGTAAGATGATCCAACCGGCCACACTAATCCCTCCATACCACTTTCGCCTTCACATCAAACCCCCCCTCCCTCCCCGCGCTCCCACAAAGCAGCGGTCTTGTGCGTTGGACCCCAATGTGCAAATTCTAAAGAGGAAAATGGAGCAAAGAAAAAGTGGCAACAACAGAGCAGAATAGACTTAAAGACAGTTGCACAGAAGATAGGGTGAGCTCTGGGGCGAGGGAGGGGGCATGGTGGGCTCCATCCCTGCGAGAACACACGCTCCCCTCTGCTGCCAATCTCCCCTTCAGGTCGGGCCCTGGTGCTGCTGCAGTTGCTCTTTTATAGGTCTCTATGGCAACCAAAATGTTTCCCTGAATCCTCCGTGTTTTCCATTTTCTAAAAAGACCACAAGCCAGGGGGAAGGGGGACAGGTGCCACTCAGCCGAATGCACATGGGCTTACCATTGTAAACAAATACAGACTGTGATACACCATATTGTTTCTGATGGATTAGCCAGTAAAACAAAAAGGCAGCCGAATATGAACAAAAAGAAAAAAGTGTGGATTGTGCCTTTCAAGGGCTCTCTTTTCTGGAGGATCAAAAGTGATTTTTTAAGAAATCGTCATCAAAATGTGAATCTCATTCCGGGATCCTTATAGAAGAGTTGACTTGAATATGCTCACACGGGACAGACTGGTTGCATGCCTTTGTAATCAAGCTGTAGCTATTCATGATTTTGTACCAATTTGGAATGTTGTTTTAGCCATCTCTAGAAACCCCACTGCCTCAGAGATCTCCCTAAAACGAGCCGACAAGAACAATGATGATGATGATGCTGAATGTGACACGAGGCATCGCGAGGAAATGGGATTCGCTTCCTCATGATGGTTGGAGCCACCAAAAGAAGTTTAGGGCCTTTAGCTCAAGGCCACTGAAGTCATTGAGACAAATTCACTGTGTGGCCTCTGGGGGTACACACACACACACACACACTCTACAGCGGCTCCGATGAAGTTCGCTGTAACAGAGAGTGTGTTAGGAGTCAGGGCTGGGGCAGGGAGAGAAGACACAGGGGGGGTGATGTGTGTGTGTTAGTGTGTGTGTCTGTGTGAGGGAGCCAGGAGACAGCCGTTTAAAATTCTGTTTCCTGCAAGTGAGGAGGCTAATCCTGCCCCCCCCCCCCCATAATTCCCTGCAGCCAAAGTACCCCTCCTTCCTCAACATCACCACTCCCTTTTTCTCTACCTCGCTCTCCCTCCATCTCGCCCATTCTCTCTCCCCCCTCTTAGTGCACACTCCGTGAGTGACAGCACAATGCCCGGGCCCTCGCACGCTTATCTAACGCCAGCAGATGGTCGACTTGGATCAATGCGCCACACCACCATCAATGGCTGCGATAAAGAGCAGCAGGGACGGTACCCTCTCCCCAGCTCCCTCTCTCCTCCTATCCACCTCGCCTCATGCCCATCTCTGTTGCCCCCCCTGTACAATTGTTCCTCTCCGACGCTCCTTCATCTGCATCTGCGGTGGCACGTCCCGGCTGCGGGCCCTCCGCCGGTGCCGCCGCCCCTGCCGCGCGCGTGCCGTCCGCTGCATCCATCCCGACTCTCTCGACCTGGTCTCTGGGAGAAGTCTGAGCCCTCTCTGTAGCAGGCTTATCGTGAGATCAGTGCTTCATCTCCTTCAACTTTCCTCACGCTCTCTTTCTCACATGTTAACTTGTTGTCTTTGGCTGCCGCTGCCTCTGACCCTCTGTGCTTGTTCTGGAATACACCGTTTTTGGACATGTAGTTTCCATCCTGTGATGACCCAACCTCATGCTCATGTCCTCGTTCCCCCAAGGGATGGAAGATTTCGCCTTCATATCAATAATTCCTGCAGTTTTGTTTCACCCGATGCGATCATATGTAGTCCCAACGAGACGGCGAGGAGAATGAGATGAATCAAAGTGGGTCAAAGACAGAGCTGTGAGGAGAAAGTGGAGCAGAAGTCTGACTGAGTGAATCCCCATAAGGAACTATGGTTGGAATTGGGCCAGGGTGCACGCTGCTAAACAAATCTGAATACGATAAACTGAGTTTGCATTCAGATCTGATTCGCCTACAAGAGTCAAAACACAGGTAACAACAACGTAAAACTGCTGTGGAGTTTCAATCAGACTTTTTGCCATCTCCGCAGGAGATCACGCTGGTGTGTGTCGTGTGTGTGTGTGTGTGTGTGTGTGTGTGCGCGCTTGTCAGTCTGTCCTCACCATAAACTACTGACACCGTTTCTTATCGACTTCTGACTCCTCACTACTCGTACCTGGAAGGTTGAGGCGACAAGTGATGGACAACTGCTTCAGGCTGTCTCTTGTTTCCGCGATGGATAACAAATTCTCTCCCTCTTGATTTGGACACCGTGAAATCGCGTGAGTATGTACACTATGTGTTTATATTTAATCCATATGCAAATGACTGAAACTGATCCGAGCAATAACAATTAACCTAATAAACACAAATGTTTGTCAGGGAGTTAAACAAGGGGTGCTACAGCTATTTAATAGCACCCACAGGACCAATGCCTCCACTTAAACCAAGACACGGGGCCATGTGACCTGTCAGCTGCATAGACTTTGCCACAGAGTAAGCTCTCCCCTTCTTTCGCACGTAAGGAATTTGTAATTTGCCGTTGGTGATGTAATGCAGTTCATAATAAGCCCATTAAAGCCTTTCTCTGTGCTGATGGAAAACGCAGTGGCAATACGGACACCTCCGCTATTTATACCTCTCAAATCCTCATGCATATTCACACAGTGCAGAGACGGGGAAAGAGCAGGCAGACGCCCTGACAAAATAAGGGCCCGGATCTCATTCCCTTTGGGGCTAAGTAATGAGAGAGTCTTTGTTACAGCTTTTACCTGTGTAAAGATATGATGGAGAAATACCTGCGCAGAGAAGGAAGGCGCCCACCCTCTGTGTATTTTGCAATCAAAGCTGCACGGTTTTAGCGCCGTTAAAGTCACTGGTTCAGGCTTTGCCATCGCAAGAGCTTTTGAGAGGCATGAAAAATCGTACTTTTTACATTTTTTTTATATTGATTTTGACACATTCCTTCGGACACCGGTGTGTCCTACAGACAGGTTAAACACTTAAAATGAGTTTAACCGCATGTCCCGTGTAAACTGACGTCAGGGTGGGATTTGTCACCAGCTGCTAATTGGTCCGGGCTAATCAAACTAAAACGGGCCTCCTCACATCCAATAAGGGGCTGACCTGAAGCACGTCCCGGTTGAATAAAGAAGTTCAGCCTGACTATCAAGCTAGTTTTCAACAACTTTGAAAAAATTTGCCAAAGTTCATTCAAGCTGTTCTGGCAGCTCCTGGTGGCCCAACACCTTACTTAAACATGTTGTGTTTTTGTTTGTTTTTCCTTTTGTTTTTCCCCCCCATCTGTAGGCGCCGGCGGTCCCTGTGTGCTAATAGAGGGCAACCTCACAACTGTGCAGCCCGGCTTACCGCAGGACTGATCTGGCTGACCACACTCAGCTATTGTCACATGAGCTGCAGTCTGAAGACGCCGGTGTCCCCCCCCACACTACTTAATCCTGCCTAATTTGAGTGCAAAGAAATTCACATGTGCCAGTAAGAACATTTACAGAGTACACTGCTTCTATTTTCCTCCCTAAAATAAAACAGAGCTTAAGCACTAAGCTTTATTGATCTTGCAACTTGATAGTGTGATTAAGGGGGAAGATGTTGCCTTTAAATAAGTAAACACGTTTAGGTTACAGGCCACGTTACGCCGCTTTAAATCGGGAATTCATGAGCGTGGCTGTAGATTCTGCATCAAGGACCCCTCGGTGTTCTGATGCCTGTGTGTGAAAATATGTGTATGCAGTGTTTGTGTGCTCTTAGTGTCAGTTAACTGCGCTTAACTCTGCCTGCAATCACTAACATTTAACCAGTCATCGTAGGGGAGGAGGGATATTTCATGTGTATTGGGAGAAAAAACACAGAGAGGGAGCCGTGGGCGCCAGAGATGCAGATTTGTCCCAACGGAGATTTGAACACCTCCGTGCTGTGGGTGGGCAGACTCATGGAAAGACACGGAGCTAAGGGGCTGCACGGCCACCCGGTAGAAGAGGCTCTACACCCTGGCGATGGTAGGCATTAGTTCAGCACCAGCTCTTCGGCTCACTCACACACACACACACACACACACACACACACTCACACACTAACAAACCCAAAGGCTGCAGAAGTAGCAGCTTTGATCACTGAATCACTGGCAGTGACGACATTGAACACATCCACCAGTTCCATTTAACCCACTTCCACTAAATCACAAAAACTCAAAATTCATTCCCCTCCTCCCCCCACACAACAAGGCTGTTTTTATCCAGCGAGGTTCCATCTCCATTTAAAAAAAGGACAAAGCACCATTCAGTGTCCGTGTATAAGTGCCGTTTGGAACTGAAACTTCATCTATTAGATATACTGACAATTCAAACAAAAGTAAAAACCCACACCAAGAAGCTGAGCGAAAAAATGTTCCATATTTTCTGGAGATTTAGTTCACATTAAGCCAAAAGGTAACAAAAATGAAAGTAAAAAGCCTCAGTTGACAATGGCACTATAAGTCATTGTTTGCAAAACTGAATGTAATGTCTCAGATCTCGTTGGCATCTTTCTCTGGCAGCTTCACTCGCTTTCCTTTTTGTATTTTCATTGTGGATTATTGTTTACTGGCTTCAGCGTCTTATATCAGTGCCTCTCTTTCCTCAAAACACCTACTCATTTGAGGAGTGATTCATTCCAGGCTAAATCATATTCCCGAGGGATTAGAGAAATCTAATTTGGTGATATTTCTGTCATGCACACTGGATGTAGTATTCAAACAGTCTTCCCCTCCCCCTTTGCCACAATTACAAACACACAAATAAAAAACAAATACACATTGAGTGGTTATGTTTCTTGCCAAGTATGTTCGCATTTTTTTTAGAATTTCATGTTCATGTCTTTATTAGTCATCTACAATATGGTTTAATGGAGACGTAAGGGTTCAAAATAGACAGGAAGATAAAAAGAGACATATTTCCAAAATGGCAAAATTGGAGCCAATAAATTCAGGTAAGAGGGAGAAAGTGGAGGCTGAGAGTTCTCAACGAGGCCTCGAACTCCAACAACCAGATCAGATCAAAAAACACTTTTTTTCAGTTGATAGATGTGTGAAAAACAATCTTGTTCGAGATTAGTTTCCATGAATTAAAAACATCCTCACGCCCAGGGCAACGTTGCAGCTCCTTTCATTTAAACATTGATCAAGTCTATTGGAATAGAACGGCGTTGTGGGTCCCAATTTCTTCTTTTTTCCCATTTTTTCCCCATATTTTGTACATTACCTTTTACAATTTTAAATAATTATCATTTCCAGAAAAACATGCTTTTTAGCGTATTATATCATTATTGTGCCTGACCAAACAGTAGTGAGGCACATAACCCCCCATCCATGTGTGCTGTGCATATATCATGTTAGATGGTGAATTGAAAGAGGTGCTGGGATATTGGGTTACTCTTTTTTTAACAGAGCTACTCTCGCTGTTTCCCTATGTTACAAGTCTTTATGCTAAGCTAGGCTAAACACTTGCTAACGATATTTTCACATTTGGGTGTTATTATTATCTTCTCAAGCATATTTTTCAAACATCTTAAACTACCTTTAAGGTTTTGACATTAAACCTTGCTTGTTTTATTGTAGGAAATTGTTTCTGACTATGATCACAATTACTAAAAAGTTTAATGTCCAATGCTGCGTTCAGTCTATGATGGCAGGGTGAGTGATGCCAGGCTGTATCACGTTTATTACTTTACAACTAGTTGGGTTTATTGAACACAGAAATAAACAATTATTGAATCTAATCCGTAAAGTGGCTGTAGCTGATAAATGTTTAATTGGGGAATGGGTACATTTTCTGGTTGAAACTTTGCAGCCCTCCGACTGTAAAAACTGAGGAAAAAAACATTTAATGCTTCAACAAATTCACTTTTTGTTCTGTCAATGTAGCTGCTGCGGACTATGCGTCAAGTTAACAAAGCCGTCTTATTTTTTTCTTGACTAAGAGAGATTTGCTTACTTTCAAAATTCCCAGAGAACTCTGCAGGAAGACGAGTCGAGTGTTCAGGTGCAAACCACCTCCTCCTGCAGACTTCTAGATTCCTGAAGCCACAAGTGTCGATGCACTTTCTCCCCGGCGTGCCCTGGTTTCCAGAGAGTGGCGTGACAGTGATGGATAGCTGCGAGCTTGCTACCAATAAGAGCCTCCGAGTGGTCGATCTGAGGCCCTGGGCCCCGGTAGATGGGCCCTCCAGGAGACCCACTCTAAATTAAATCCTCTGCAGTGTCCGCCAGGCTATTATGACGCTTTTCCCCCGCGCCCGTTCTCCAACGCCGCCTCCAGCCAGCCTCACTTTTGTTCCCCCAAGAACAAGTTTTTCCACCTTAATTAATTCAACAGAAAGTAATTAAACCTCAGCGTTTTGCAACCCCGCCCTCACGAGACACAAAGAAAAGGTAGGATGAAGGGAGGAGAGGGGGGGGGGTGCGAAAGAAATTAAGAGCACTCAGTGCCAAATGACCGTCGGAAGCAAAACAATATTAGCCCCCCGAGTCAGTGGCAAGGGCTCATAATAAAGGAATAACAAGACCGGGCATGGAGTGGAGATGAATGCTCCGCGGTGGTGGTGCATGTTGTATTGTTGGGCAGGGAGGGGGAGGCCGCTGAGGTGGACGGCCCCATCCGCACCGAGTCTGCTCTTAATTTGCTGAGTGTTGTAAGTCCTCAGGGGTGCGCGGTGTTTGGCCCTGAGGGGTAATAATGTACTTGGCAGCTTTTTCTCCCCTGAACTCTGCCCTTCATTTGAAAAAAAATGGAAAAGAAATAGGTTTCTTCACTCAAACGGCCCTTACAAGCCCACAATATATGTATATATTCTGTTTTTGTGTTTTATAAAAACATCAGTAAAGTGTCTCCGGTGGTACAAATTTTATCAGCATAAGAACAGTAAATATTAATACATTTTCTGTTAATCGATTTGATTGATCAAGGTTAAGGTCAAATGAATTGTGTTGTCTAGTTTTTTTTTTTTTGAACATTGGTATCACGGTTGTCTTTAGGAAGCTGCAATTTCTCTGATTTCCGACATTTTGAAGATCAAATAATTAATCAGGATAATAATCTCTAAATTAATCAAGAATGGATATCATTCATCAGCCTTTTACAGAACTAAGACACATTGTATGAAGAGACTGAACAAGAGAGGAGATAATATTGCAAGATAAAAGTAATCTAAGTAAAATAATGAAATCATTTTCCAAAAATTGAAAGTTGCCTGAGTATTTATTTTTTACTTTTCTCATTTCAACACATTCATTATTTTTGCTTGTTGTCGAATTGAAACTATAAAAGATGCCACTAATCCTAATATAATATCACCAGTAGTAAAAATAAAAGCCAAATGATCAAAACGAGTTCCTTGCTAATGTTTCTTTATTTTGAATACCTTAAGTACATTTAGCTGAAAATGATTTTGCCCAAGTCACAAAGTAGGAATTTCACATATTCCTTTACACCAATTTTTCTCCTCCAGTAAAGAACCAACTTCTTTCGTTGCTACACACGGTTTTCCAGCAGCCAGCGTGAGTACTAATCCACAGTATACCTTGTGTTCTTTAAAGCACCGTGATTATTACTTCAGTTTCAATGGAAGCACTACAAACATCGACACTCGACTTCAGCAATCTCAGCATTTCAGCTCCATGCAGCATGAGATGAGATGAGTTACCATCGCAAAGCCTCACATGATATTTGTATCCTTGCTGGAGGTCACACATGCCCCATGTGCTGTGTACACTGGGTGTGGTTTAGGGACGTCTTGGCGGTTTGTCGAGTAAAGAGAAAAGTTGGTTAAGCCCACGTCTTTGAACTGCGATGTTGGGTCAGACAGCCAAGGCAGATATTTGCCCAGCAAATATTTTAATCCCCAACTAATCACTTGGTGAGTCCAGTGGATGGAGGTTTTTTGGGGCTGGGGCCGGTATGAGTTGTGGTGGGGGGGAGTGGGGGCCTTCTGCGGTGGCCTGACACATTCCTCCAGTCAGTGACACGCCCTCTTGTCCAAGGGGATTGTGGGAAGAGTCAAACAGGGCGACCTCCGGAGTGGCCCCCCTGCAGAAGAAGCCACCTGGGTGTGGCGTGCATGCCCCCCTCACACGCATCTGTGCTGGCACCTACAAATCCACCTGAACCCCCCCTGATCAATTGACCGTAATCAAGAAGAGATGTGACTCCGTTTTGTCATTGATCCACAATGTGAAACCTGAGATATAAGTGAACACTGCGAGGCGCGCGTCTCTTTCATCTGCAGCATAAAGAACCTGCCCTCTAGAAGCTCCGCTCCTTCTGTGCTCTGGATTACATTTCCTTTGAGTGAAAAACGCTGTGTATGCACCCCCCCCCCACCCCCCACACACACACTGATGCAGAGGAACACGCACAAACACACTCCTCAGCCGTTCGGCGACTCTCGGCATTTGCTTATTATCCGAATATTCTTAATCGCAGCGGAGACAGAGAGCCCGAGAGAGACACGTCAAAACATCTCCAACCGTAGAGGACCAGACAGCGAGCGTGATGGGCAAATTAGTCAGAGGCGCCGCCGAAATGGATGGTGAGGGCACGGGGGGGGAGGAGGGGGGAGATATAGGGGAAAGTGAGAGTGTGTGTGGAAATCAGCGAGGGAGCAGAAAACAGAAAGAGAGAGGGAACCTTCTCCGTTTCGCCATTCAGCGTTGCCTCCTGTTCCCGGAGCGCTTCGCCAGATCACAACCCGCTAACTGATGGAGAAATAAATTACGGAAAGGCTGCTGGAAAAGATACGATTCTGGAGGAGATTTAAGGAGTGGAACTGATTGTGCATGTCTGATTTCCCCGCGCTTCAGAGTCCTCACCCGGGGGGGGGGGGAGGGGGGGGGGGGGTGCTTGGCTTTCAAAGCTGAGTGACTTGCACAGAGAAACACTCCATTAACAAAGTTCAGCTCCCCCTCCCCCCCACTCCTTTCCTCCCCCTCTTCCTCCACAGAAGACCTTCCCATGATGTTTCGGGGGAACGTGCCTCCATGAACAGGGAGAAGAAGAGAGCAGCTGACTGAGGGAGGCCTGGTTGGAGTTTGAAAAGATAATTGCGGTTGATTATTAGAATTTTGTTGTATTTTATGTTCCTAGTTTTGTACATCACTTGTACATCACTTGTACATCACTTGCTCGTCATGTTAGTTGCTGTGATTTGGGAACATCGAGATCCTCGTGATGTGCAGTTCCGTTGGGTCAAGAAACAGAAGGCGTGAGATGATTGGGTGGGCGGTTTAAAATCCAATAATTTATTGATCTGCACCTTGATGCACGTAAAATTATAATCGGCCACACAATAAAACGTATAATTCTTCAAAAATATTTGCTCTTTATTTGCCTAAAATGGTTATTATTTCACTTTTTAAACTTTAAACTTAATCTCCCAGATTTAAGTCTCCATGCTAAGCTAAGCTAAAGTTTAGCTTCATCTTCATCGTACATGTTTGATATCTGTGAGAGCAAAAAAAAGGTGCAATTCTTTGTTCAGCCCTGTCGTTACCAAAATAAATGTCGCAGCACTTGGAAAATAAGACCAACATTGTAATACACAGTTCTTTACATTCCTATTTGACTTTATTTCATTTCTTCTTTAGTCCTGTCCACTTGGTTAATGGTAAACAATGCATTTACTGCATTGGGCTGAAGGGTGAACACTGGCGGAGGTAATCCAGAGAGACTGAGGGGCATTGAGCAGGCAGCATGCAGGAGAGCAGTAGCTTGGGTCCCGAGTCCCGGGATTAGAGTCATGGGACTAGGCAGAGGCAGGACCATTA